GGGAAAAATACAAAGTACTATGGAGAAGCCTGAAACCTGAACTCATGCCTATGCTGGTCAGCTGACAAGGAAGTCGGCAGGACAGAGATAGGTACTGTATATGAAGCACAGAGTGTTTGTGAGATTGGTCCAGTTCCGTGAGGTGCTGTGAAGACTTTGCCTGTGAGCCCTGTAAAGCTGCATCCATGTGATATTGTGAAGACTGCATCTGTGAGCCCTGTGAAGATTGCACCTTTTAGCCCAGTAAAAGCTGCATCCAAATGATATTGTGAAAACTGCACCTTTTAGCCCAGTAAAAGCTGTATCCTTGTGATACTGTGAAGACTGCACCTGTGAGCCCGAAGGCTGCATCTGTGCAATGCACCATTTTGCATCCGTAAAACTCTGTGAAGGCTGCACTTTTGAGCCCTGCTATGAGTCACAGCAGACACCTCACATGGCATCACACAAACTAAAGTTATTTGAGTACCAAGACCAAGATGTCATTGTAAAATAATCACTTTTTCAGACATTACGGTGATAAATATAAATTTTCCTAGTGAGATTGTGTTAAGCCATGCTGGGTGTACAAGGTCAAGCTACTAGGTATAATACTCTTGGTTTTGTCTGCATTTTGTGTTTGTGTAATGTGTACGACTCTGCTTCTGCCAGAATTTGCTAAACAGCTTCACTCTCTGAACAGCAACTAACTCCACTACACCAAAATGCCAGTTCTCTGCAGTGGCAGAATTCTACAGTGGTGGACATCACTTCTGTATCTGACATCATTTTCCTGGGCTGAGTCCTGTTACACTTGGAGTTACTGTACACATTATGATGATGTCAAGGCTCTGAAGTTTAGTATAACAAAATACAGAGCATTAAGAAGAATCCAGGAAGAAAAAAAAATACCTTTAAGTAGATTTTGGGATTTATGGAAATGGAGTTCTTTCACACAGTCATTTAGCTCTTTTTATTATTTACAAGAATATATATTTTATTTTGAGACTGACATCTCTCTTTTTCCCCTCTGCAGGAAATTGTGGACAAAGATGGAAATAGTAAACTGTTGTCATTCACCATACCTTCGCTATCAAAACCATCTATATATCATGAGGTGAGTCTATGCCTGTTTCTTATCATAGTTAAGGTTTTGGGGATTGGGAATTATACTGTATCATTTGTCTTTGGAAGTGGTGATAGGAACAACATATTGCCAGCTGTGCAATAACAGTACCAGTTTAGCAAGTTTTGACATTTTGTGTCTCATATTGGCAGTCTCAGACTGCATTGTTCAGTTTATCCCTACAGTTTCCAAGTTTCTGTATATGTTGACCACATACCCAACTTGTTTGCACACTGCAGTCAAGCTAACAAACACACAGTGAGCAGCAGAGCGGATGACGAACCTGATCTTAGCCAAACATGCCTATTATCCAGTGTGTTGTCGGTACATGATGTTGCACTAAGCAGATGTGGAGAGGAACTGGAGAGAGAGATACGGAGAGCACCATTTTACATCTTACAGGGGATACACCACGGCAGCGTTACCTCTTTTTTACCATAATCTTGTTAAATTTCAGTTGTCAAGGAAGGCTGAATCTCGCAGTAGAGATCATCAACAAAATCCAGGTTGCTGCTCCCTCTTGAGCAGAAATCCCAAAGCAATACCCCAATTTGGTTACTGGGGGACCATGTATTGTAAGATGTTTGTTATTTTGAATGAGATTTTAAACTGAGGTCCTAACTATTCTGATTACAGAGTAGGGAAGTTAACCATGGTGTCTTGAATTAGTTTCTCCCTGGGCTTGTGCTGTCTGCTCTATTTAAGCTTCCCTCTTTATTCAACTGAAGCAATTTCTCACTCTTCTGTCTGATGTGCTGTGTAGTTGTGCTGTTACCACAATGGCTACTATGCATCACCCACATGGGTGCTGCACACTGGTGTTGAAGGAAGTGGGTCTACTAAAATATGTAAAGAGCTCTGGATCCTTTGGGATAAAAAGTGCTATATAAATACAGTAGACCATTGTCCAATGTGGAAGTTACATTCATCCAAAGCAATGTATTAGGCACATTCACGTTGAAGAAATATAACATCTTATAGTATATAATAATGTGAATGCAGCCAGATAAAGTCACTTAATAATACCAATACATATGGACTGTACATTGTATGTTATAGCCAAATCACCCTATCTTTATATTATTGACAATCACCCTAACTTTACTGAACAATGAATGAAATGCAAATATAATTTCCCCTCCATTGTTAGGAGGCAGTGGGTAGAGCTGCACCATTTTCACCAAGGCGACACTCTCCCCTATCAGTGGATACTGTAGGGAGGGCAGTTACTTCAGCCCTGTGTAGAGTAAAAATCCACTGGAGACCTTTTTGTCGAGCAGAAGAAGAGTTTATTGCATATTTGGCCTAAGAGAAGCACTTTCCTTGAAATTAGGAAGATGGTTCTGACAAGAAAATTTACAACTGACCTTTTATACACTTAATTGATAAGGAAGACAAACAACTTAAGTCTCAAAAAGGAAAACTTCAATTGTATTTGATTTCTATTGGTTAAGCAAACTTCTTAGACAATTGCTCAAAAGATTCCCGCTTGCCTGCAATCATAGGATCTCTACGTAACTGAGTTATGTCAGTGTTTTCTGATGGCAGGCACAGTTGTGATTGGTCTTCAACACAAAAACAATTCTTTGGAATTGTTAAAACAATTATTCTTTGTGTCTGCAGGCTCCTAGTCTTATCAACAGCAGATACATTAATGTTGAAGCCTGTGTTTTGCTGAATGGGGTGTACAGAGAAAGAATTTAACCCTTCACCTGTGACACACTCTCTCCCCCCACCCTGGTGAAACTCTCTCACTTGGACGGAGGCTTCCCTGCTGGCATCCCAGGTGCAAAACCCAAAACCTGTGCACCATCACCACCCTCCTTCTCTGGAGCTTCCAGTTAGAATGGAAATAGCATCCCTTTGTCATCTGCAGCTTGATCTGCCTTGCCTCCTGGGACTTGAGCATTGTTATTTCCTATTCCTTCTCCTTCAGAGACAGGGAAGTCCTTTATTGAGCTCCCTCAGTGGTTGCTGGCTTCTCAGGGAATATGTCAACTTTTCTCTCAGATCAAGGTTGCAAATGGCAAACTCCCTCTAGACAATGCATGTCGATGACTGTTTGGGCCTCCTCAGACTCCCGTTGTTTTTTTATCATATAAAGGACCCATCATTACTGCTCATCATTACTGCTTGCAAAGTTAGTTAAACCTCCTCTGCCAGTTTTAATTACTCCCCCAGACCTAGAGTCTCCATGAGAATCTGACTGAAAAATTCTTGTGAACTTGGTCTGAACTATTGTAACCAGTGTTCTACATCTGTGGGCAGGATAATATGAACAACAGTGACTCTCTGTGCAGTGACTAGCACACCCCTCACTAGAACAGTAAACAGGACAGAAACTTTCTCCAGCCTGTCTTTTCCTGTTGGCAGGATAATCTGAGGGACAAGCAACCTCAGGGTTTCCCTCATAATCGTCAGCCACTAAGGCACTAGATTAACTGCTGCTTTGTTACTTAATATGCAGCCTTAACAGCCTCCACATTCTTTGCAAAGACATAAAGGTTGTTGCTATTCTCTTGCTCTGTTACCTCTCTTAGTTGGAGTATGTCTCTCCATCTTCCCTGTTCTTCCCTGTGACTGTTTTGCAGCAGGGTTTTGGTAGAGAGAACCCTCTTCTCCAACTGTTTTTTTCTCAGCAAGTAAATGCTTCATCTGGTCTTGCAAAGTGGTCATTTGGACCCCCAGTCCTTCACTTCTGCCTCTGCACTAACTATCCTAGAAAGGAGTCCAAGGAGGGTGGGTATCTCCTGGTTGGCTTTTTTTAGCTCTGTTTTAAGGCTGTGGACACTGCTGCTAGACTGTTCCAGCTCACTGCCCAACTCCTTCAGTTGGCTTTCCAGTGAACCTGGGCTGCATCTTGGAGACTGATGACCCTGGACTCTAGACAGCTGTTCATTATCCAGAAAAGCCTAACTGTTTACTCAACTAACAATATATAAGTGTTTGATAATCGTAGTTTCATTGAGAATGAACGGTTGATTTCTATAAGTAAGTTCACTTACTGATGACACTGAAGCTGTGTCAAGGTTAATAACTTGACCTTCTTATGTAGGTATAACTCAGGAATAATTGTCTTATATGTGCAGACTGATACTGATACAAAACAACAAAGATAAAAGGTCCTGTTCTTAACTAAATCGTGTAAACTAGCTATGATTGTTCATATTTACCTATTCTTTTTGTATGTTTTATTTTCCTGCAAAAGCTGGTGAAGTGTTCCTGTTAAATTAACCTTGTAGAGTAATATTCCTATCTTTTTTTGTTTATTTCTGACTCATTTTAATTTAGATTTTTTTAACTACAAATCACTTTCAACCAATTTTAAATAAAAAGTTATTTATTGTTTAAAATAATACAAGTAATATGAAAAATAACAGAAAAGATACAATAAATACATTGCGTAGTTTAATATATACTATATGCTTAACTGAATTAATTACTCATTATTGGTATTACAATTTTTGTCTCCAGCTGAATGTTTGATCTTGCTGTGTTTATTTTTTTTCAATATGGGTAGGAAATCCCGTTCGGGATCAAAAGCTTAGGAAATGAAAATTTTTTTCTACCTAGGTTCATAAAAATTCCTGTCTCATTGCAAAGACAAACAGATAAGAAAAGGTGTCCCCTATGCCTTCTGTTTAGGTTTCAACATTAAGGGATCTGAGCATCAAATATCTCTTACTGTGACAATTAGTGATTGTACCTTTTAACTGTTTAAACTTTTGGAGTCCTTGTCGCTACATTCAGTTCAAAGTTTTTCAAACATAGTCTCTAACAACTCCAGCATATAGAGGTTTATGCAGTCTTTCCTCTTATCACAGCTAGATCTAACCTTAAAGGCTGTTGATGGATGAGGAATAAGCTCCAGTAGTGAAGGGGCATTCCCTCACTTGAAGCTGAAATATTACCTGACAAACTGAGAATCTGCTGCATTAGTACCTCAGCCTCACCTAAGATTGTAGGTTCAATTCCAAGAGGTTTATTGCATTCGGATGACTTGAATATTGCATGCAGCCAACTCAAAGATGAGTAATTAATTTGAACTTGAATTGTGTGAATATTGTGTCATTTCTCTTATTGCTTTCAGACAGGTGACTCCACATTATTGTAAGTGTACAAGCCTGCTCTCTAAAGTATGACACATGCTCATGTTTTTTTCCTAATTGCTTTTAAGACAGAATAAATAAGAAGCTACTGTAGTACTTGTATGGCATTTGTGATTTTGTACTTGGTGATACTAGTGGAAACTGCAGACACTTAATTCATGATTCTAGCTATCATACTTCTGAATAATCGGCCTCTGTAGGAATTACTCCAATTTTTAACATTATCTGAAGAGAGAGAATGAAAAGAGTTTAGAACTA